TCTGGCAACACACATTCTTCTGGTTTCTTCCTACCCACAACATAAGGCTTGATGATGATGATGATAATTTTCACATAGGTTTCCCACTTCAATAACATTGTAAGGAACAAGGTATATATATGAATACCAGCTGTAGATCATTAAGTTATCTTAGACAATGCAATCATTTATTCTAGCCATATTCCTGAAATGATGGGTTATGGTGGATAGTACAATAAACAGTTAAATAGCTCCCCTGCTGGATAAGATAGGGATTGCAGAGCATTTGACAAATGTAAACTGTACCTGCAAAGTTTTTGTTTTTATAAATTTTGAGATTTTATAGTTATTAAAGCAATGAATATTACAAACAAAATGCAAAAATATATAATTTCAGAATAAAAGTTTGTAGTTGTTTTACTCTCCTGTCCAGAGAAAGTAATCGTAATGCTAATAGTAACATTTGCTGGGAGTTTACTATGTGCCACAGTGTCACATACACCTTATGAGGTGTGTACAACTATCAGCTTAATATAGACGAGAAGACTGAGGCACAAAGAAGTTAAGTAGTTTGCTCAAGACTGCACAGTCTCTGGCTAGCAAAGCTACACTCCATTGTAGGCAGTTTGACACCAGAAACAGTGCTATTTACAATAACCACTTAAAAGAGTTTGGGATATATCTCTCCAAAAGTTTCCTTCTTTCTCAACTTCTTTCCCTTGCAAACATCCAACCCACTACCAGTTCTCTCCCAAGTTATGGTGAAATGCTCTTCATATAAGCTGCTGTGCTCTCACTATTAAACCAACGCAACAGCAGTGTGGTAGAACAGGCGACAGGATAATAAGCACTAAACAGAGAGCTCAGACGACCTGAGTTCTAGCTCTCACTGACTCTGTGTTTCCCCTCCGATCCTTGTCCAATCTCTTTTCTTTCCTGCTCATGCAAACTTCTAATTATCTCCACTCTCTCACCCCTTTTTCCTTCCTCAGCCAAATGTAATCTCTCTTCTACCCAGTGATGTGATGGTAAAAGTTTAACAACTAACTATCTCAAGGAAAAGAAATCCTTGATTTATAGCATTTGCCAGTTTTCATGGTGTATATATTTCCCATGACTGATTTCCAGCTACCAACTTGATGTCACTGAACAGAGTTAGGAAGAAATATCTGTCTCCAGCTAGTAAGAGCACACCACTGCGTCTACCTCCATATTCTACGAAAACTGTTCTATTTTTCAAAGATCACCAGTAAGCTCACATTTGCCAAATTCAGTGGATATCATTGACCTCTTTGTTCACCAGGTACTTCGATGTCTGTCTCCATGAAAATTTCTACATACTTGGCTTCCATAAAGGTGTTAAAACCCTGTACAAAGATCACCAGGAACACAACAAGAGTAAAATAAAATTAGATTTATTAGCTCATTGCAGCA